TCGACCCTTCCCGTGTCTTGTATGTTGAGCTGCGGAAACAGGTCGGGTATTATGTTGACCGAATTAATGTCTAGGAATACATTGCGGGTTAATAATTCCAATTATATAAGCGACCGTCGTTTAAGGCACTCACTAGCTAGGCCGACGCCATAGTTTACGCTTATCTAAAATAGGAGATCAGTTAATTGGTTATAGAAAAGCCAAAACAGTTCTAATTTCCGTTAAACTAGAACAGGAAATTTCCGGCTCTATTGAATACGGTGGAAAGAAATTGCCTTTCGAATTACCGCATCGATGTTCAATAATTTCGTAACCTTAGTGGAAAACGGGATTGAAGAAAATTTCATTTTGTAAGCTATTGACGCTAACGAGCCTGATATTTCTTGTTCCCAATCATTCGAGGAAACGCGGGACACAAAAGATGTCAAATTCTAATTGTTGCCCATTTCCCAAAAAGTATTTCTTTTCAGATCCGATAAAAGAATATCTATAGATCGATCTTTGAGCCAATGCGCCAACATTTTTAACTCGATACTTTAGCCGAGCTGGAAATTTAAATGGAATGTTTCAATTTTTGTCTGCTTCAAGTTCCGTGCTTTTGGCACTGATGGAAATAAACCAAAAAATGTTGGTCTCCTAAACAAAGTAGGTAGATTTTCCATTTGTTTAATTTAATATAATTTAAAAAATTCATAAATTATGAGATATTTTGTCAAAAAGTACTATTGATCAAGGCTTCTTTGGTGGCAAGAGCGACGGAATACATAATTTGATGTTGAGAAAAAATTTTTTGCTCCATTTTCATGAAAATTTCAACTTTAAATGCTGGATAAGTTGAGTACAGTCCGCTGAAATGGCAGATCCAGATTCAAACCGTATGCTGATTTGAAAATGCTTTCTTTTGCTCGCAGCATTAATGCGAGGGAAAACTTTATTAGATTTTGCTTGGCACTGTTTTCGCCTAAAGAATATGTCAGTGAATTTCGGCAGATTAGTTGAGGACCACCCTGCATATACAGCATAGATACAAACCAGCTAAATGAGAGCTAGAATAAATGATCTTAGCAAGGTTTTAATGAAGAATTATTTATCTCGGAGTTTTCATCGGCAAAAATAAGGAAATTGCGCTTCAATAGAATATTTAAAAATTCTCGAAACTTGTTGGCTGAGAGCGAAAAATTGACAAAAGTTCTATCAGAAAGTTAAGCCAGCCAGGCAGCATAAAAGTCAGCAAAATTAAAGACAAAAATGACAAAAAGACTCCGAAAAATCTAAGTCTGCAAGGAAATAATTAGTTAAGACTTCTCAGTGACAACGTTTGAGAAATGTTGATTCCTAAAATCAATCCAAATTTTATACGTTCCCTTCAAAAAAAGTGAGGAATAATATTTATTGGGGATAAAACATTACAATTTGAATTTGGTCCATTTTGACGAAAATCGTACCAAGCGCTTTAATGGGCCCGATGTCCGCCAAAAATAAAAGTATTATTTCGTCTGACATGGAATTTTGGAAAGATGATTCGCAGGAACATCCAAACTTGAAGGAAAACGAGGAAAAAAGCAGAGCCGACGAAAGAACCATCAGTCAAAATTTCAATTAAAAGAAACACCTGATAAGCTTCGGACACGTCAACCATCAGCAAGGCTTTACGAAGCGCAAATCTGCAAACCGACTGGCAGGAAAAGAGTACTGACGGCTGATGGAAACAGGATTATTGTTGCCGTATTTTTTCAATGCTGGTAAAAGGCCAAAAAATACTCAGCTGGTGGCGCGATTGAAATTTAAAAACGGTGAGCTTTGAAAGGAGATTTTAGAGGGATTAACTAAAAAATACGCATATTGAACATTCAAAAACATTAATCTATGTGAAAAATAAACAAAAAGTTCGCCTAGATAGTTTCGCTTTTAAACCAAACCAATATTGACCATTGTAATGAACAAGACAAACTCATTTAACATTGTATACTTAAGCCAATCTGCACACATAATATTAGAGTATGTTCTCGAAACTAAATCGTTTAATATTAGCTGGTTTGCCTCGGGAAAGCGTATTATCTTGCGAAAGCTAATGTGTGCACAATAGTCTTCCAATAAAAACTAGTCAATTAAATGATTATCAAGTTTTCCCTAAAGTGGTAATGCTGGGAGCAAAGACATGAAATGACTGAGCGGCCACTATACAAAGGTAAATCGAATCAGGCAATAAAACGACAGCATTCATTCTAGATTAGATTAAGTGCGTAAACCGCATTTAGATTCGTATCACGGGCCCTTGAAAGCCAACCCTCCGACGTAGATTAGTGTTTCGATTAATAAAAACAGCCGTTTTATCCCACGAGCCTTTAATGGTGATCGATTACTTCATTTCTGGGACGATTCTGAATTCGCTCTGTGCATATTGAACGGAACACCAAAGCTCATTGAAATTCCTCAATGAGATCAATCCCGCTTGCTTTTTGTTTCAGACTGTAATGCCGATTTATGCCGATTTTGGTTTGCTTTTAATCTAGGTTCTTTCAATTGGCCAATCGTTTTTTCAAAATAAATAAATGCTTTAAAAATTATAATATTAAAAAACTTGGCAGCCCGGTTAAGGATTGATAAATCGACTAAAGTACAAGAAAAACAAACACAAGTTCTCGAACATTAAAGAACGGCTGAATAAAAATAAAAAAAACTGCGCTAATTTGTAAATATCTGGCAAACGTTATCACATGTCGCAATGCGCCTAAATTATACATCAGTTTCATCAAAAAAAGGCAACGAATGCGTCGAGCTCATTGAAAAACACGCTTGAAGCTTCGAATTAATCCGGATTTTTCGGGCTTTTTAAGTGGTGTTTGAGCAATAACAATCTTTAACCAACGATATCTTTATTATTATAGACCCAATCGCTTTATAATACATGTTAAAACAATCCATTGAGCTCAAGTGAAGATAATTTTTTTTCAAAAAATATAAAATTTTTCAAAGCGCCTTAAATTATACTTCACTTATAATAAACTTAACTTAATAAAAAAAAAGAAGCAAAAAATGCGATGGGCTCATTGAAAATCACGTTTAAATCATCAAATCCGAAATACTCGTCATTCTTGGGGCTTTTTCATGCGATTTTGGAGCAATCCAATCTTTAACAGTCGATCCCTTCCTTATTTTAGACCCAACCACTTTATATATGCGTATAGGGGAGCTGATTCGGTCAAAAACAATATATTGCGCTCCAAAAACACGCATGTGAAATTTTGAATTTTTACCTAAAATTTCA